TTAGGCTTATTAAGGTTGGAGGGCCAGTGAGATAGCTCAGCAGACTAAGCGCCTGCTTTGGCAAGCCCAGAGACCAGGGCCCCGCCCCTGGGGCGTACTGAGCCAGCAACCGAGTCCGGGGTGGTGGCGCATGCCTATAATCCCAGTGCTGGGAAGGCTAAAAACAGGAGGATCACTATAAGTCCTATCTACATAGTGAGACCCTGTACCAAATATAATATATATATATATATATATATATATATATATATATATATTACAGTGGACTCTTAAAAAATCTGCCCCCTTTTGTAAGATGAGCTGCCAAGCCTGGTTTTATAAAGAGTAGGGAAGAAATGTGAGGGCAGAGGCAGATGCCCTGAAAAGCTGGCTGCAGAAGAAGTGCTGGCTGCAGCTGCCGTGTGACCGTCAGCCACCAGCAGGGCTGTGCAGGCTCTCAGCTCCTAATGTACACTTTCTCCCCAAGTGCAGAGACGCCGTGTCTGAGCCGAGGCAAGCTGACTTGCATAGCGTGGCCCGATAAGCACAAGGAAAGGGCCGATAGCAAGACTCGAGGTGCCAAACAGCGGCCTATTTCTCCCTAATCTGTGTCTGGGACACAAGAGAGGGCTCCGGGTAAGAACTGAAAGCATGCCTGGAGATGGTGAAGAAGCATTAAGCAGCAGAGAGTGAAGAGGCAGAAAGCGAGACAGGGAGGAACTCGGTGAACCTGCCCATCTCTACCCACTGGGTCAGTGCCCCAGAAAGCGTGTACCCACCCCAGCTCTCAGGGTCTCACCTTTCTAACACAGGGCTCCAGCACAAACTTCTAGACATTTCCTCCAAAGCATCTCTGACCACCAAGGACAGCAAAGATGTACAGCTGGAGAAGCACCCCACCAACTGAAAATGTGTGGGTTTTTTCTCTAGAAAGTCACGCTAATATTGCATTCTGCTATTTCTATATCAAGATTTATATGAGGATTCTTTCAAATGGAGAATCCCTGTGAAATCGTTTCAAGTAGAATTGGTTCACAAAGGTAGGCAAAGCTCTTCCAGGCAGCCTTCCCAAATGTGCGCCATTCTTTCTGCTCTCCCAGGTATCCATGTCAGCCCTGAGACATCGAAGCTTGTGACTTCCCTACTTTGATTTCCCAAAGACCTAGCATGAAGCCTGAAATGTATCTGGCAATTAACAGACATGCTGTAAACAACACCCTCCTTGTGCCTGTGTACATCTTTCCAACTGTGCACTTCTCACAATCCAGGTCTGCGCTTAGCTCGCTTCACTGCAGTGTCTTACAAGATTCTGCAGGTGGGCCCCAGGGGTAGCTCAATGTTAGGACACTTGCAAAAGAAGAAAGAAGAAGGAAGAGAGAGGGAGAGGGACAGAGGGTGGGAGGGAGGCAGGGAATGGAGATCCTGCAATTCACTATCCTCTAAACACTAGGACCAGAGCAGAAAACAAGCATACACTGTGACCCAAGCGTAGATATTTGGCCGCAATCTACCAAGCACTCACCACACATTCAGGTATCAGATCCCTTCTACCACAGAGCGACAAGTTGAGGAACAATTTAAGAAGTGGCTGATCTCCTGGGACCACTCCCAAGTTAGAGTAAAGGTCTCTCCACTACGCCTAAAGCCAAGAAATAGGAGAATTTGGAGTCAGGAGAAAAGATACTAAAGACAGGTACCTCTACTGTTCACAGCAAACACACCTCCTAGGATATGCCCCTTGGGACACAAGGAGCCACAGACTTTGAAGAAGCTGATTGGTCGCACCATGTGACCAAGCAAGTCTTCTTGTAGTTGTTGAAGTGAATGACAAAACTCTGGGTAGGCCGTTGGTCAGAAACCACCTGACCAAACATCTACACAGAGCCAAGATGCTCACCACAGGCGGAAGTAACCAATGTTTTGCTTCCGGCAGAGACTAATACCTAATACTTCTCAGGAGCAGAGGAAATATTAAAACTGAAAGTCTTTGGCTACAGACAACTATTGTACACTGGTATCAAAAAGGGAAATCATTTCCTTCCTGGCTCCCACTGGACCGGTGGTGCCCAAAGCCAAAGGTGTGACTGTCTAAGCAAACGCAGCAAGAATCCAACAGACCGTTGCTTCTTTGGGGTCTCTCTCCTGGCCACTGTCCTGGACTTCAGATTTGCCTCCCCCTACCTCTCACTGCCTCAGTCAAAAATGAAAGTGAAAAGCCACAATACTATACATTGTTATCTCAGCTTTCATTAGCTGTGCTAGGCAAGCCTCCAGAGATCAAGCCGCCTTTCAAGACGGAGATCGATTACGTGCCCATCCGTGGACAGGGCTGCTGCAGGAGAAGGCTTTCCACAGCTTAAGCTCAACAGACACAGTGATCGGCACTCCACATATTATTTATTTTTCTGTATATTCAACATGATTCTCTAAGGAAGAAACCAGCCAGAATAATCCATCACGTATGGAACACACTTTATAATTTAATGAACAGCTTAGTACCCATCAACACACTTTTTTTTAATTAAACATGACAAGCAAGCCAGACAACGGCCTTGTCTCTGAATCAGAGATTAGGAAAGTGAGCGTGGAGAGACATTTTTCTAGACTTGTACAAGTACTGTCTGACAGTGGTTCTGTTACCATATCCTGGTATCATCTGCCTTCCAATACGCGCTTTGGCCATATTAGTACCAAAAGCCTCTCTCTTTCTGTCCAACCATTTATTTAATTCTCAAAAACTCTGCAATCCAGCCTCATCTATGCTATGATTCCTGCAACTGCTCAGCAGAGACTCTGCCCGGACCAACAGAACACCATTGGAGAAAGGAATGCTCGCTACCTTCACCTTTATTCTACCTATGAAAATACACACTGGTTCTATTTTGAGCCACACACCCAGTAGGTACAGGGAAGTGCGTGACCATGGGCAAGAAACGCTGTCTGACTTGGTTTTGCATTCCTGGAATGTTCCAGCATCCTGCCTTCGCCACGGACTCACACTGTGATAGTTCTTGGAGAGGCTTCACGCTGGCCCTGTCATCAACAGTGGGTAGAGCTGGGCCTGCTCAGGTCCCTTTCAGAAGGTGAAGCAAAGACTGAAGTCTGGCAGCCCCGGAGCGCTCCTGGGCTAAGCAGGCTTACAAAGGTCTGCAGTCCCTCACACAGCTCCTAGTCGTCTCTTCCTCACAGTGCCTGCCTCGGTATTTCCTTGAGAAGCCGCTTCTTCTCCCTGGTGATGCTGCCATCATAGTTGGATGACTGTTCCTAATCCAGTTCTGAGAGAGCCCTGGCCCAGCCACGTCAGCAAACACAGTCTCTTGGCCACAGTGACTGGGTCAGCTATGTAAGATAAGCCAGGCCTATGAGAATGTGGCAGACAGTGCTCTCCTTATCTGAATAAGAAAAAAGATGCCCACAGCCCAGGTTACAGTGGGCAGCTATCGCATGACCAAGCAGAACAACCTGAGGATGAAGCAAACACAATCAAGATGGCAGAGACACAACTGGAGTGCTGTCCAAACTGAGCCTAGAGGCCGCTCTGTCTCTGGACTTGCTGGGTTCCGGGGTTTCAGGGTTTGCAGGGCCACTCACCAGCCTCTTACAGTCCACTTACGGAGTTGAAGGCTACGACAACATAGTAGAAGACAAAGCCTCTCTCGGCTCACAACTAATTTACGGACCACAAGAATTTCTGGGCCTATTTTAGCTCACTGCTGTTAAAGGGATCTCTCCTATTCTGCCATTCTTCACTTGAGCTCTTCAAATGGAGATGCAAGCCTGAATATTTTGTCACAATTTAGCTTTACACACTGAGAAAATTCAGCAATTCACAATTCCCATTTGATGTTTAAACTATATATGGTGGGGGGAAAGTATTCAGGGCTGTATTTGGTTTTTTTGTTTGGTTTTTTGTTTTTTGTTTTTTGTTTTTTTTGGCAGAACCGGGGATTGAACTCAGGCCCTTGCACTTGTCAGGGAAGCGCTTATTCTGCTGAGCCATCTCCCGGCGCCCCTGTATTTGAAGTTTTAACAGGCAAAGATGTTGAAGAGTCCCAGCCTGAGTGCTCTGCCTTCTGTGTCGTGTAGGCCTGCAGGCACAGAGAAAGCCAGGTGTACGCTCACTAGGCCAGAGCAGCAAACTGCAGCTACACAATCAGTCATACCTCTGACGGAAGATGGGTTTTATCAATCACAACAGCATCTGCTCTGTTCTGAACAACTACACCACACGTGCGGCCAAGCACATTATCTGCACAGCAGAATGCTCAGACAGGAAAGGACTGGGCCTCAGCACGGAGCCCACGGACCTGCAACCCCCTCGGAAGCCTTAGCCAGAATTCTCCAACCATCTCCTCGGATCTCACTACAGAGCACGGAATCCTGATTGTTTTCAGCGCTCACATTTTTTTGGAAGGGTTCCCAGACAAACAAGGTACAGCTTCGTTTACCTGGTTCCCTTTTCCTTTCCAAGTGAACAGCAGGATTCACACTTAGCTCGTAAGGGAACAGCAGCAGGCCCATTACCACAGAGGCTCACGCCTCAGCCTGAGCAAATTCCTCAGCCTTCTTACCTCTAACGGTTCCTGCGGCATCAAAAGAGACCACAGAAAAAGCACCTTGCATAGGAGTAAATAAGAGACGCTCAATACTGGCATTGCTTTCTTTCCTCCCCAACATCGCATCACTGTTGCCTGACATTTCCATTTTGGTCTTTCAACTTCCAAATCACTTTCCTTCGTGCCAAAGGAAGGAAAACAAAGAACACAATCGTTGGCAACCTGAAATCATTATTCCTCCAGCTTTTTCTGCAGTTTCTATACCTTTCTGCTTTGCTTTAGCATTATTGTATCTTGCCCACTGCCAAGGAAATCAAATTTTTAAAAAGACATTTTGATCTTCTTTACTTTTTGATGTTCGTTAAAAGGTGTCATGCTTTAAACGAAAACGATCGATTTTTTTAAATTCACTGAAACAAGCTAGTTAATTTAACAAGAGAAACATCTTTTCCGTGGAGGACTCACCAATGAAGGAAAAATATCTTCCCTCCGTTGGGGGCACAGCGCGAAACAATCAAAGCTTCACAGGACTGAGAAGCAGCTGACCAGATTCCTCGTCCACGTCTGTCTCTGCTCTTCAAGGTCACGGCCTGTGAAAGCAGGAGAGGAGACGGCTTAGAAGCTTGGGCCCTTCATGGGTGACGAGGCCTCTGACTGGACCACCGTGAGGTGGCTCCAGACTTGGATGCCACCACTCTTGGGACTTCCTTCTGTGCCTTGTAAGCCCCTAGGCAATTTCTACCACTTTCATTCCACTAATTTGTCTCAGAATGACGTGGAAAGAGGACCCTTGTGTCTCAGTCCTCGCATCTTAGGTCTCCTGGGAAAACAGCTTTGTGTTAATAGTGGAGGTGAAAGAGATCAATTAGTTACATTTCAGGCAAGAAAAGAACTTGATCTAAACTACAGCAAATAAAAAGGAGGAAAAGAGTTTAAAGGCAACTTTTTAAATATAGGACCCAGTGGCATGTCTGAGCTTTAATTTTCTTGTCTGAAAAACGACAGCTAGCCAAAGGAAGAAAGCCAGAAGATCGAAACAATTTCATTTTGTTAAGGACCAGTCTGTCCTCTTTCCTAAGGTTTAAGCAATGCATATTCCACAGAGAAGCAGTCCACTGAATTGTTAAAATTTTGGCTTATGTGCACAGGAAATTCACATGCCACTCCCACTCTCACTTAATACTTTAAGTATTATCTAACCAATCAAACATCAGCTTCCTGTTGGTCATTCCACCAAGTATTCAAGTCCCTAAACAAATTCAAAAATTCGAAAGGCTCTGAAAAATTAGGCATACCAACTCTTCCAAGTGACAGCAAGAGAACCTAGGGCCAGGACAGAGAGGGGACATTCAAGGAGCCCACTGCTGGTGGCAGGGAGTCCGTGACTTGATCCACTGGACCTAGGTACTACTGGCTTAGACAGAGGACATAGACTTCCTGCGCAGGGACCTATACACCAGCGGCTTGGGAGCCAAACCACGACTTACACCCAGGCCTCTAAACTCCTACTCAAACCTCCTCCTGCCAACAGCAGGAAGAAACTAACCAAGGAAAAGAGCTGACCTGAGATGAGCCCGGCTAAGCAATGAGCCCCCTGAAAGCTGATTGTCTTCTCCAAGAACATCAGCGCTGTCAACCTAATTTCTACAGAGAGGCACAGTTCCAAAACTGCTGAGGAGAGGCTTGTGGGAAAGTCATCCCTACGGATATGGACAGAGAAATCCCACAGAAAATGAAAGGTCAACCTTCCCCACCTAAGTTCCATAGAACTAAACCAAAACAGAGAAAGATAAATCAGAACAGTTTCCACAACAGCATCGCAGGGCATGTGACCTCCCAGATTTCTAAACTTCTGTCAGAGGCGAAAGCCGTCCACCATGGGCCCCAGGGGAGTCGCCTTGGCTCTCCTGCTCCCCTCTGTGCCCCAGCGGAAGTGGGCTCTCTTTGTCACAGCTGCCTTGTCTTTTCACCATTTTTTCCCCCTTTTCCATAAAGGGAACAAGCAGCTTTGCAAAAGAACTGCTGTGAGATGATTGAAGTTCCCATGCAAACAAACCATTAGCAGAGTTCAAATGCAATTGAAATTACCAGTTGTTAAAGCGCTCCTCAATTTCGTGCTAAGTTTCCAAGGAGAATTACATGCTATATACTATTTAATTGGTTGTTTTCTATTTTTTAACATCCATTTATCCCCCTCCCCTACCTTATATTTCAGAAGTGTCTATAAAAGCTTCTCTTTAAAAAATTACACATTGTTGAATAGATTAAATCTAAAGATTGAAAAGTATCAGAGAAACAGCTGCAGGGTTAATGCAGCTCAGCGACAGTGATGTTTTTGGCACCATAAAACTGGCATCATTTTAAAAACTTAGGGAACACCTATGGTGCCCTCCCTTTTTACAGTGACAACACTGAAGACCTGAAAGTGAAGCATCCTAAGTCCTGTCCCAGGGTTAAGGTCAGATTCAGGAGGAGATCCACCATTTCCTGCCATCCCTGTCCACACGCCTGCTCATGGATAACAGAACAGGAGGATACAGCCATTGAATTTTTTCCTAAGTCTATTTTTAAAAATAAAACTAAAACTTTTTCTTTTCTTTTCTTTTTTTTTTTTTTTGAGGGGGGGGGCTTTTGAGACAGGGTCTTATCCTGTGCTTCAGGCTGGCCTTGAGCTCAGTCTGTAACCCAGGCTGGTCTCAAACGTGCACTGATCCACCTGCCTCAGCCTCCCGAGCATTGAGATTACAGGCATGCACCACCACACCAGGCAAAAACTGAAACCTTTAAAGCCATCCCTGACTTCTAAAGTGAGACAGGCAATAGTAATAGCAACTCTCTCTCCAAGAGGGCCGAAAAGAAGGAAAGGCTGATGCATGTGCGTCATCCGCAGACCTCGGGAAGACACATTTCAAGAAGGGATTCTGGGCAAGAAAAGTGAAGACCCACATCCAGACGCACCAAACATGACACAGCGTATGACAACGGCAGCTTCCCATTGCTTTATCTGGTCCTGAATTAGACACAGAGTCAACAGAACAAAGGCAGACCTTGTCCCATCTGTAAACAGAAGGCATTGCTAGAAGCTATCATGAATGCAAGGGAAAGTGATTTTAACCTCTCTACGCTGGTTTCTAAATCTGCAAAATGGGACTCACACCTCCTATCCTTCCAGGTACGGGGAACCATCTCCCGGGATTCCATCTCCAGCAGGTACCACACAGACACCGCGCAGATCTGCATTAATTACTGTCCACCTTCTCCCTCCTAGGTTCCTCTAAGTTCTCACAGCTTAAGTTTCTCTGGTTATAATTTATGTCAACTAAACTATCAGGAGCCATTTATAGACTTCCAGTCTGTTGGATAATACATGTTCTTTGAAAGTAAATCAATCTGTATTAACATTTAAAAAACAAAACACTTCATGGAATCTTACACTTCTAAGTATTTTCCTTTGAACACCAACTTTTAAAATGTTATCTAAAAATGGCCTCCAATTCCAGCTTTTTGAAACATGTATTTATAAAATCACAACTGTAGGTCCAAAATCTAGTCAAGTTTTCTATCGACCCTCTAAAAAAAATGTTTCCCAATTGTACACTGAGGAACTCAGATCAGAGAGGCAGACGCCTGACCAAGGTTTCGGGAATATTGAGTAACACACTTGGGACCTGAACCTTGGTCTTCAAAATCAAGTTCCATGACACAGGTTTTATTTACTGCAGCTAAAGCTGTCCCTACCGCAGCCAGGCACTCTGCTCAAGGTAGAGAAACACCTGAAAACTCTCACTATCATCACACCTCAAGGAGAATTGGGACAAAACTAACGGCTGCCTTTTTAAACTGAAGAAGAAAAAGGTTCACGTCAGATGCAGGTAAATCCATCTTCAATTCCACCTTCCTGTTACGTTCTTAAGTAAAAGAAAAAGCTCAGAGACCTGGCAGGAATCAGACATCGACTGGTGTCTGGGAAGCAGGCCTCTCTGAAAAGATAGATAGTATCTGGTGAACTCAACACTACAATTCAAAGGGCTGGGCTCACGATGACCTCCGGCAGTCCCGGGACGGCCGTGGGCAACTCGCTGGCAGCACTGCTGTTAGCACAGTGTGGACTCCCTGAACTCAGCAAGTGCACAGCGCAGATGCTTGCTGGCGCCCGTCAGCCCTGGCCGGAGCGCTGCGCAGGCCTCACTGCTCTGCCACGTCCAGGGCGTCTGCAGAACTTGCCATCTCCCTGGGCTCTGCTAGAGCTCACAGACAGGCTGGAAAGCACACAGCAGCCTGCCTGCCACCGAGGTCCACGCAGCGTCACGCTGAGGATCTGGAAGTTCTCTGAAGATGATGTGACCTCTGAACTAAGCTCAGCACCCAAGAGAATGTCCCTGCATGAAGAAAAAGCAAGTAGGCCTCGGGAACACAATGTGCAAAGACTTTCCGCAGGGTGAGTTCAGGGTGTCCTCGGGGAAAGTGACTAAGCCTAAGCCGGTGAGGCCAGGACAGAGAGACAAGACAGATGGCAGGACACGGAACTGGAAAGGAATGTGGCAGGCAGGACGCAGGGGACTTTGTGTCCCTCACTAGTGTGCTCGGATTGAGACCCGTGGAACTGCACCTTGGGAAACGACACAGAGGAAGCTGGAAAGTAAGGCCATGACCTGAAGGGATGATCAGACAGGTGTGGGGTGCACAGCTGTAACCTGGGGGGGGGGGGAGGCTGAGTTGGGTGGATCCCAATTTCAAGACCAGCCTGAGCAAGTTAGATGGAAACTGAAATAAAAAGTGCTGAGAACGTCACACAGTAGTAGGGCACTTGCTTAGCAGGCGTGAGTTCCTGGGTTCAAGCTCCAAGACCAGGAATGAATGAAGGAAATGAGGGAGGGAGGGAGGGAGGGAAGGAGGAAGGGAGGCAGGAGGAGGGAAGGGGAAGGCGAGGGGAGGAAGGAGGGAGAGAAGGGAGGGAGGGAAGGAGGAAGGGAGGCAGGAGGAGGGAAGGGGAAGGCGAGGGGAGGAAGGAGGGAGAGAAGGGAGGGAGGGAAGGAGGAGGTTAGGAAGAAAGGAGGGAGGGGAAGGGAGAGGGGAAGGAGGGAGAGAAGAGAGGAAGGGAGGAAAGGAAGGAAGGAGGGAGGGAGGAAGGAGGAAGAGAAGGGAGGGAGGGATGGAGGGAGGAAGGGACCACCTTCCAGGTCGGCCTCCAAACACAGCAAGGGTGGAGAGTTCTGAAGAGCCCTCCTTCTCAGAGAAGATGGCTGTGAGGATCACCCGTAAACCACATCTCCATTGGCCCCTCCCTCCAAGTCTGACACTCCATGGGACAGTCCTACAGAGCACCGGAGAACAGCACTCTGCCTTTAGGGGCCCTCCAGCGTCACATAGCTCCTTGGAGAACTGAGCTCCAGAAGACAGGCTGAAGACATGCTGTGGGCTCTCTCCTGGGCCTCCTCCAGCAGGAGCCAGGCCCATTCCAGCTTTTCCTGTGTGTCTTCCACATGCTGTGTGCCTCCCACTACCAATGAGCTTGCCCTGAGCCACCAGTTAGGTTCTGTGCCACATCATTCCCTTCAAGGAGAAACCCTGGTAGTGGTTCCCAGATGTC